TGTCTGGTCTAGTTTCCAGATGTTTTCAGGCCCAGCTTTTCTTTTTCTGTCTCCTATGGTCCAGTTTCCAGATGTTTTCAGGACTCTCCAGCTGAGATCTGCACAGTTTCCAGCAGCATCTCTCTGGATCCTCAGAACTGTTTCCTGTCTGTCTGATGGGTTTTCTGTGGCCTTTTCCCTCAATCAGCTCCAGAACAGATGGTGAGTCTGTGTGACAAAGAGCCTGAAGATCCATTAAAGTATCTATCTATCTGTTCCGGGCTCTGTGCGGCTCCTCTGGCTGCGGAATGTCTCACACGTGGCAAAGACTCTGAGCTTTTTCTTTCTTCTTCTTCTTCTCTTTTTTTATGGCGGTTGACAAACAACTTTTCGGTGCATTACCGCCACCTCCCAGATTGGAGTATGGATCCAACAATCTTTTAAATCCTTCCTAATACACCCGTTCTTCTTAAAAAACTGAAAATATTTCCAAAAACCACATCCCCAGATGACCTTTGAAACAAATCCCCAATCTCCAATTTTATTTTTGTAGCCCACCTAATGGTAAGGGCCCCTGAGTTCTTTTATAACCCAAATACTAATCATTTGTAAAACCTTAATTATTTGTTCTACTGAATAAAGTTACACCATCTTACCTTGTGATGATAGCCTCAAATACACATATACACAGCAATGGAAATATACAAACAGATATGAAAGAATAAACCTTGAATTTAATTAACAATAGCACAGATTTAAACAATCAACAACCAAATCAAATGATCAAATGTCCTATACTGAACCCTCACTCGTTGCAGGCCTGTTGGATGAGTTGAGAGCGATGAGGTACCTTTACTTTTTGTCTTTCACACACTTTTACTGACGTTCACACAGCGTTGAACAAGCGTGGGGTTTCCAAGATGGCGTAGGTCACACTCACGGGCCTCCTGATAGCCACACGTGTCCGCTTTTCTCCTCAGCTCCTCTCCGACTCCGGGAAAACATTAATCCACATATGTCACTCGTCAAACATATTAGCTCCTTACCGAAAACGTCCATGCCCCAAACTGGGAACATAAATACTTTTCTTTCCGTCGGGTTGACTTCGCCAGTCACACACGCGGAGCATTCACCGGGCTAGCGAATGCTAAAAAAAACGGAGCTCACTCGGTTATATTCCAGTGTTTGTCCTCGGTCTGAAAACAACCACGCGTTCATCGAAAAAATGGCAAAACAGGTTTCCGTCAGCGACTATTGATTTAACAGTCCAGGAACTCTATTATAACCACTCACATATCCAACATGCTTCCCTTCGTCGTTTTACTCGCGCTAACCCAACAGACATGGCACATCCTCTACTTCCGGTCACGTCTCACGTCAATACAGAAGTAAACAAGTGAAAGTAGTACACATGCACATCACTTCCCTTAGACCTTCAAAATAAAATACATTAACAATATTGTAAAAATACCTCTTTTAACTTACTCTTATACTTTTAAACAATTTTAAACACATTAACACATAAATGCAATGTACTTATACAACTTAAACTAAATTATTAATACTTTTTAACCATGAAACTTATCACATTTTAACCTTGTTACAATTGTATTTTTCATAAGGGCTCGTCCGGGATTTGAACCCGGGACCTCTAGCACCCAAAGCGAGAATCATACTCCTAGACCAACGAGCCACTTTTGCTGCTTAACCGAAATCACAACAGAAGCCTGAGAAGGAGAGATGATGCCAGCTGCTCAACACAAGTACAAGAAGAGCCTCATCACCATGTCAGTGACTGTTTATGATCAACAACAGCACTTTATGGTGGACACAGAAGACACATGTTCCTGTATAGGTAGAGAAGGATCCACTCCAAGCCTCAAATCTTTGTCCAGATGAACACCTGCAGCATTGGCCAGGAATAGAACTGTGGTTGACTGCTTGGAAAACAGCTATGCTCTCCACCAATCCTGTCTCTGGTCAACTGAAAATAAGAACTCAGTCTATTTATATCACATGAACCTTTACCTGACTTTATTTTGTAAGTCATACGAAATACATTTTGCCATCAGATTTCCTCCTGCTGAAATCCACCAGCAGCTCCTTTGTCTTGGTGGTGTTAGGTGCAGATGGTCAGTTTCACACCACCCAACAAAAGAATCCACAACACTGCTCTCCTCCTCCCTCCCCCACTGACACAGCCAACAGCTGCAGAGTGGTCACAGAAATTCTGCAGGTGACCAGAGTCTTGACCTCAGTGTGATTTGAACACACAACCTTCTGATCTGGAGTCAGACGCGCTACAGTTGTGCCATGAGGTCTGACAGCGTTGCTGTAGTGTTATGTCATTCTGGCTCAGCCACACTGGTTATGGTTTAAGTCATTTCCACCTCTCACATCATTTAGTTGAACTGACAGCTGTTGGACTTTCAGTTTTTCAGTTTTTATTTTGCTTAATAAAGCAACGAAACACCATACATGTAAACTTTAGACCCTTAAATGATCCCATTCAAGCCAATTAAAATCTAATTCAATCTAATTCACTGTAATACATTCATCATGAGGCCCTTCTTGTGCTGGTGTTGAGCAGCTCAGGCTTCTGCACACTCCCTCCTCTGGTGATTTTGGTCAGGTGGCAAAAGTGGCTCGTTGGTCTAGAAGTATGATTCTTGCTTAGGCTGCGAGATGTCCCGGATTCAAATCCCAGACGAGCCATTATAAACTAATTTTAAAACATGCTTGGTAAACACAACAAAGAGGAGGTTCAAATGCTCTGAGGAGGATTAGACAGAAAATGTGGGGCACATCTGGAGGTCTCAGTTAATTCACAAGCTGCTATTTTCATACAGGCATTTATTTACATCTGGGCAAAATAAAGAAAGCAAACAAAAAGGAGGCAGCAGATCATTGAAAAAGACTCAACTTTACTTGGTACTTCATGTATACAAAACAAAATTGTTTGTTGGATTTTAACCTGAGCTTGCAGAGAGAAAAGACTTGGTAGTCAGAATAGTCACTAAATGTTTAATCATAGTGATTTGTGACAGATTTATATCAATTATTTGGTTAAGTGGTTAGCACTTAGTTTCCGCCCGGCCTGCTAATTTAGCCGCAGCCACACACGAAACAAAAAACAGAAAAAAACAAAATACAATAAAAAAAGGAATAGAAGAAAAAGGGGGACAGAAAAAAACAAACAAAAAAAACACCCTCTTAAACACCACACACACATTCACACCTCTCACACTTCACCCTGGGAACCCTCCTGCTGTGAGGCCACAGTGCTGACCACCACACTGCATTACCTCCATTATTTTGTAATCTTTAAAATTCAAGTGTGCAGAGAGCAAAGATATGATGATGTCAGCCTGTAGTTTCTGAAAGTAAGTAAAGCTAATTCACTTGTTTCTATTTATTTGCAAAGGCCTCAGGAAATATGAATATGAAGGTAGACGAAGAGGGCAAAGTCTCC